ACCTAGCATGATGAACTTGATGGCTTCCCAATATATAAAGACTCTAGCCATCGGACTGGTGATAATATTAAAAAATGTGACATTTGAGTATTACATAAAGAAAGGCATCATTTAGAAGCTCAAAGCAACTCAGGACACTAATATTTTACATATAAACTGTATGGGATGTTACAAAATCATGAATGGATAAAAGAGCAATTCATAGGGTGAGAGAGTCCAATGTCATTTAGTAGAAATGCACAGGGAAAGTTCACTGATATGGTACTTGCTATTAAGAAATAATAATCTTTCTAATTATGGTGTCTAAATATGCATTTGAACATTAATCAAAAAATGAGAAAGCAAGAGTGTTTATAATAATATCAGATAAAGGAAGTGTCATAGCCAAGAAATTACTAGACAAAAAAGAGGGATATCACCCAATGATAAGAGAATCAATGCACCAGGAAGACACCATAATCCCAAATTTGGATATACCAAAAAAAGAGACTCAAAAGATACGAAGCAAAATCTTACAGAGTTAAAAGGAAAAATAAATAAATCTTCAGTTATAGTTGGGGAATTCAATACCACATTGTCAGCAATGAATTGGATTAGCAAACAAAAAAAAAAAAATAGGAAGGGTATAGAAGTAACTGACACAACCACCAGGATCTAAGTGACACATAGAAAACATTCCACCCAATAACAGCAGAATTTGCTTCTCAAATGCACTGGGAACATTCTCCTGGATAAGCCATCTGATAGGAAATAAAACTAATCATAATAGATTAAAATCAAAGTATGTTTTACCTTATAACAACTAGAAAACAAAGATGAAGTAAATTAGGGGGCTTTGCACCTGTAGCTCAAGTGGCTTAAGGCACCAGCCACATTCACCTATGCTGGCGGGTTTGAATGCAGCCCAGACCTGCCAAACAACAATGGCAACTACAACCAAAAAAATAGCCAGGCATTGTGGCAGACACCTGTAGTCCCAGGTACTTGGGAGGCTGAGGCAAGAGAATCGCTTAAGCCCAGAAGTGGGAGGTTACTATGAGCTGTGATGCCACAGCACTCTACCCAGGGTGACAGCTTGAGGCTCTGTCTCAAAAAAAAAAAAAGAAGTAAATTAAGGAAATCCACACAAATCTGTGGAAATTAAACAACATACTCTAACATAACCGATACATCAAAGAAATCAGAAAGGAAATTACAAAAATACTTTGAGAAGAATGAAGACAAAAACACATCAAAACTTATAAGATACTGCTACTACCAGGCTTAGAGAGAAATTTATTGCTGTAAATGTCTATACTAAAAAGGGGAGGGGGGAAGATCTATAACCAATAGCCTAACTTTTCATCTTGGAAAACTGGTAAAAGGAGACCAAACACAGAGCAAGAAGAAGAAAGAAAATAATAAAGATGAATGTAGAAATAAATGAAGAACAGAAAAATAAAGAAAAACTATAAAAACAAAAGATGATTTTTCAAAAGGTACACAAAATTAACGAATCTTCCGCTTGATTGACAAAGAACAAAGAGAGATGATGAGTTACCAAAATGAGAAATGAAACCAAAAACATCACTGCTGACCTAAGAGAAATGAAAAGGATTTTATGGGACTATCATTGAAAAAAATATGACAACCAACTGAATAGCCTAGATGAAATAGACAAATTCATATAAAGATACAAACTATTGAAATTGAATAAATAGAAAATCTGAATAGAACTATAACAAGTAAATAGAATTAATAATCAAAAAACCTCCAGGAATGTATGCCTTCACTAGTGAATTCTACAAAATATTAAATAATTAATAATAATCCTTCAAAACCTCTTCCAGAAAATGAAAGAGGAGGCAACACTGCCCAACGCATTCAGTTAGATTGGTATTACTGTGGTATCCAAACCAGACAAAGATATCACAAGAAAAACAACAGACTTCCGTCTGATAGGAATACAGACACAAAAATCCTCAACAAAATACAAGGACACAAATTACAAGAAAACAATTATATTCCAATTGATTTTTTTTTTTGGACTTTCAAAAGCAATTCAAAGGAAGGAAAGTCTTTTTACATAGGGTACTGGGGCAATTAGATATTCATGAGAAAAAAAGAATTTTCAGGAAAAAACACAGGAGAATACATATGGGGCCTAGGTATAAGCAAAGAGTTCTTAGACTTCATATCAAAAGTGTCATCTATACAAGGAACAACTGATAAACTGGTCATCATCAAAATTAAAAACTTTTGCTCTGCAAAAGACCTTGGTAAGAGGGCAAAAAGATAAGCTACAGGATGAGAGAGAATATTTCCAAACTATGTTACCTGACAAAGGACTAGTGTCTAGAATGTTTAACAAACTATCAAATTCAATAGTTTAAAAAAAAATTAGAAAACTGACCAAAGGCATTAAAACAGACATTCCATCAAATAGCACATACAGACAGCAAATAAGCATAGTCTAATATCATTAGCCAGAGAAACACAAAACTAAAACCACAATAACATATCATCACACACTTATCAAAATGGCTAAAATGCAAAATCATGACAGCACTAAATGCCGGTGAAGAAACTGGAACATTTATACTACACTTGAGGGAATGTAAAATATTACAACCTTCCTGGAAAACAGCGTGGCCATTTCTTATAAAATGAATCATGAAAGTACCATGTGATCTGACCATTGTACTCTTGGGCATTTAATCCTAAAGAAAGAAAAATGTAAGTTCACACAAAAAAGTACATATGAGAATTCGTAGTAGCTTTATAAAAACTGGAAAGAACTTCAACACGTGAAGTAAACAAACTGTGGTATATCCATACCACAGAGTAATCCTCAGCAATAAGAATGAATGAACAATTGATAGACACAACTTAGATAGATCCCAAGAGAATTACGTCGCACACAAAATGCCAATTCCAAAAGGTTGTCTGCTTGAAGATTCCATTTACCTGATATTCTTGAAATGAAAACAGTTTACAAATGGAAAACTGATTAATAGTTCCCAGGGTTTAGGGAAGGGCTGGGGGAGGGGCCAAAACTGTAGGCAGACTGGTGTAGTTATAAAATGGAATCATGAGATACTTATGGTGATGGAACTACTTTGTATCTGACTATCACAGTGGATACACAAACCTATACATGTAATAAAATTGCAAAGAATACATAAAAATGAGTACAAATAAAGCTGGAAAACTGGAATAAATCAGGTGGATTATATGACTGTCAATATATGGCTGTGAACATATGGTACAATTGACAAGACACTGTCATTAAAGGAAACCAGATGAAAGGTACAAGGAGTCACTCTGTATTATTTCTTACAAATATATGTGTATCAGAAATTATCTAAAAACAAAAGTTTAATGTTTAAAAAATACACAAAGAGAAAGTTGATAAACAAGGATCATTTTGTCAAAAAAGTTTTGAAACTTAATTGGCTGAAATTCAGCAATGCAGGTAAACTTAGCAAATAACTGAATGTTGTTTGACGCTCCTAAATTTGGATGATATATTCAGTAGCACTGCAAAACTACAGAAGTAGAAAAATTATGTTCTATTAAAGCATGACCTTTTAATATTCACTCTGACAAAACAGTAAATACATTTGAAGCATTTACACGGCACACTGAAATACAAAAGGTGACACAGAAAAACCACTTGCGTGATTACTGCCATTTGAGCAATTTTAGCCATTCTTCTCAGAGAAGACTTTTCCTTGAAAGAGTGAAGTGAAGAGTAATTAATAAATACTTAACTATTTTTTTCTATGAGCAACTATGATTTTGCCAACTTGAATACTCACCAGAATGTTTTCTTAAAAATGAATGAAATGAGCTCATCAGTACAAAGAAAACCACTGATGGCATTTTTTGCCAATGATAAGATGGCAAGTAAAAATTAGAATTTTGAAAAACCTAAATCACGACTGTGAGTTTAACAGCTCCCAAATACTTATAGACTTTTTCTAATGAGACGGGTCATGACATAAATACATGTGACTTTTGGTTTCACATAATGAAACATGACATTACTTGGAAGCTCGAAAAACCTCAGGATACCAGTGTGTTTCCAAGTGGCTGAGGCACAACATTACAAAGCCATGTATGAGTGAAAGGACACCTTGAAAGGGCTACAGAGTCCCATGGAACCAAGTGAGGAAAGTTTGCCCATAAAGTTGCACATTCCACACTGTACTCATCCCACAAGGGACAGCCACTGGTTGAGTTGTGGTGTCCTATCAAAAAGTGTCCACACTGATCTGAAAAGCCTTCTGTCTAACAAGGGTACAAGTGAACTTTTGTAGAACTAGAATGTAAATGTTTTGACACAATGACTATGCAAATGACATGAAATTTATGTCAACCATCTTGATGAAAGTATTTCAAAATGTATATGAAAACTCTACACTGTACCCCATGTTTGCATTAATGTATACAGCTATCATTTTAATAAAAAAAAATATCTCTCCCTTTCCCCACTGCATATGGGCGTGAGGCCGGGTTTTCTTCCTACACTTGAACCAAAATGTCATCCCACAACTGAATGGAGACATGGACTTGAGAAGCCAGCTGTCGCCTATAGGAGCAGACAGAGAAATTTGCAGAAGTAGAACATAATGCTGCTCTGCTCACTAGACTGTGTTTTTCTCTTGCCAAGCATAGTTATTTCTTGTAAAAATATGTTACTTTAGTTAAGAGGGAAGGGTTAGTGTTGTTCATTTTAGATTAATAAATGTTTAAAGGTTTTTTCAATCTAAGTCCTAAGATATTGAGAGAGGTGACCCACATCAACCAAAGCTCTTGAGATCCCCAATGATTTGGAGAGTCCTGGGACCACTGAAGTTTAAGGACCACTGTTTCAGGGTTCTCCTGTGGCTGGATGTACCCCAAGCTCTGCCAGGTCCAGAGTGGTCCTGTGGGCTATTGTAGTTCAGAGACAGAACCCGGCTAGGGAGGGACCTGCAGCGCTGCCCCATCGGTGGTTTCAGCCAGTGAGGACTCACCTCCTTGCGCTGTGCTCGGTCTCCTGCGGCCATCATCTCGATCACCAAGAGCATCAAGCAAGTCAAAGTCATTGCCTTCAGTGGGCCCCAAAACACAAAGGAAATAGCCAACTGATTCACAACTGCATACAAAATTTCAAAAAAACCCTCAAGAGGTCCATGAGTTCAACTTATCAGAACAATGGATGAAAACAAAAAGTTAAATTGGATTCCCACTCCGTGTACAGACATTGGGAATGAAATACCTAAAGGATGGAGCAAGTTACTGCTTTGTGACTTTGCAGCACACTACCAGCTTTTCAAGTAATTTATATTCCTAACCATGCTTTGCTTAGACCAGTAGTCAGAACATTTTTAACAGTCTCCTTACTGATTACAAGTATTAACCCAAAATTCAAAAAAAGGTGCATAGAGCCCATAAAATGTGCAATCAAAAGGGGGTCCACATGATCACAAATCACCCCTTTGAATGTGGAAATGTGAAGAAATGCAGGCGAATCATACGGTGGCAGTAACTCTCCTGAGTCATCACTGTCTCTTCAAAAGGACATTAGCCCTCTGCAGAGAGCTATTGCAGAGAATATATTAGCATGCCCCAAGTCAAGTATGGGTAATGGGCTGCTGCCAGGGCCAAGTTTTTCTTTACATCAGTGAGGATACTCGAATAGTAAAACCACCCATCTAGGAAAGGCCCAAACAACTACAGGAATGAGTCATAAAGAAGTACCAAGCTCCAAAATCGTTTACTAAAAATGCCACTCCAAAATGTTACATCTCCTCAAGGAAAAATGTTTGATGGGCTTAATAAAACCTAAACAACTGTATCTTCCCTGATTTTAAAATATGAAATGGTTGAAAACAGGAAGTAGTACAAACATATTTTCCTCTTGAAATTTTCCCAGGCAAGACTTTTGATAAAAGACATAGAAGGAAGGCATAGTGATAGACCAGGTACACACTCCATTAAGTTAAAACCAATGTTCAGAGAGAAACCTTAGTGGGCTTTGCACACATGGGGCATAAAACTACAGGTAGTTCACTTGGATGCTGCTCCAGAGACAATGCCAAGGGGCCCTCCCTCACCAGCCTCTCTAGGGCAGGTGTTTTACCTGAAGGATTTGCTGGAGCTCTTGTAGTTCCAGGCCTCTTGGTTGTGGTGGTGGTGACACGGTCCCATTTCTCTAAAAAGGAAAGGGAGGACAGCAAAGGGAAGCATGTTTAGTAACAAAACATAACGCCTTCTTCACAACTTGGAGAAGTTACATCACGAGTAGCATATCTTTGCCTTGGTCCTTGAGGCCCCTCTATGTAGGGCTCCCAAATAATCACTGAGAATCATGACAAAATAACATAGGTTCTTAAATGGGATAGGTTCTATTCAATTTTCTTCAGAGGATGAGGATGGTGAGGCAGATATGGTCCCACATGTAAGCTGGCAATTAGCAGAGTTAGGGATTGAACCAAAATCTGTTGGAAATGACCTCATGGTTCAGGGAGTTCCACAGACTTCCACAGCTTGGCCATGACCTGGAGAGTTCCAAGTCTTGCTTCTACAACTATCAACCTGGCACTGTAACCAAAGATAGCACTGCAGAGGGATAGAATGAGGTTGTATTCCTCATGGAATATAGAAGTATTTCATAAACTGAAAGCAGTTTTTATAAAACAGTAACTTTATATAACTGCGGTTACTATTGTAAATATTAGGTCTTTTGACTCAACAATATTTCTTTAAAATTATGGATATCTTTCACAAGTTGCACAATGTGCATGAGTTTTCCAATGGTCTCTCTTTATAATCATCAAGACTATATTGTACATGTTCATACTACTGGAAGTACTAAATAGAAAGAAGATGTAAGGAATGGGAAAGGCAGAGATGAAGCAGGTTTAGCTTTGTATACACGAAGAACTCAATTATTGACTACTGAGAAAACAAACAGGAAAAATAGAAATAAGTTGAGGGTGGGTGCAGTGGTACATGCCTGTAGTCCTGGCTACTCAGGAAGCAGAGGCAGGATTGCTTGAACCCAAGAATTCAAGGGATCATACCTGTAAACAGCCACTGCACTCCAGCCTGGACACTGTAGCAAAATCTCATCAATAAAATAATCGAAATAATATGAAAGTAAAAGGATGAAAAAAGGCATACTATGAAAACAACCATAAGAGAGGTAGCTATACCAATAATAGCTAAAATTAACATTAAAACAAAAATTGTTGTCAGAGTCAAAGACTGACATTTTATAATGATAACAATGAAAGAGGATTTAATAATTTTAAACCCATGTGCACCTAACAGAACCCCAAACTACATGAAGCAAAAAATGACTAAACTGAAGAGAACAGAAAATTCAACAATAAGAATTGGAGATTTCAATTCCCTCTTTTCAGTCACAAAAGGAACAATTAGGTAGAAGATCAGAAAGGAAATATAAGACTTGAACACTCTAAAAAACAACTATAATACACATTTATAAAATATACCACCCAGTAATAAATCCACATTCTACTCATATGCTCATGAAACATACTCCAAATTAGACCATATATAGTTGACAAAATAAGTCTCAAATTTTAAAAGACTGAAATCATATAAACTATGCTCTTCAACCACAACAGAATGAACACAGAAGTCAGTAATAGAATGACATTTAGAAAATTCACAATTACAGGGAAATTAACACATTTCCAAACAATCAGTAAGTCAAAGAAATTATAAAATACTTTGAGAGAACAAAAATGAAAACACAAGATACCAAAACATATATATGTGTTACCATGAAAGCAGTCCTCAGAGGGAAATTTACAGTTCTAAATGCCTACATTACAAAGACAAAATCTGAAATCAATAATCTAAACATTCACATTAAGAAGCTAGAAAAAGGCTTTGCAGATGCCATCACCATGCAGAGCCACCCACTACTGCCAGCCATGGTCAACAAGGGCAAGCCCTTTGGCTGTGTCTCCTTTGAGCTGCTTACAGACAAAGTCCCAAAGACAGCAGAAACTTTTGTGCTCTAAACATTGGAGAGACAGAACTTAGTTATAAAGATTCCTGTTCTCACAGAATTATTCCAGGATGTATGTGCCTGGGTGGTGACTTCACACACCATAATGGCACTAGCAACAAGTCCATTCATAGGGAAAATATTGATCATGAGAATTTCATCCTGAAGCTTATAGGTCCTGCCATCTTGTCCATGGCAAATGCCAGACCCAATAAAAATGGCTCTCAGATTTTCATCCACACTGCTGAGACCACACAGCTGGATGGCAAGCATGTGGTCTTTGGCAAGGTGCAGGGGGGCATGAACATTACAGAAGCCAGGAAGCACTTGGGTCCAGGAATGGCAAAACCAGCAAGAAGATCTAAATCACCAACTATGGGCAACTCAAATAAATCTGACTTGTGCTTTATCTTAACTACCAGACCGTTCTTTTTATAGCTTAGAAGAATATCCCTCTACCCATTTGCTCAAAATATCCTATAATTTTCGTGCTCTTGCTGTAGTTCTTTGGGTTCCATATTTTCCTTATTCTCCTCCACATCTAGCTGGATTGCAGAGTTAAGTTTATGATAAGAAAAACTAAATAACAATTTTTTTAAAACTGGAAAAAGGGCAAACGAAACCTAAAACAAGCAAAAGAAGAAAATACAGAGAATTCTTGCAGAAATAAATGAAATAGAGAATAGAAAGACTGAAAAATAAAACCCAAAAAGATATTTTAAAACATCAACAAAATCAATAAACTATTAGTAGATTGACAAAGATAAAGAGAAAGAAGACCTAAGTTACTAAATTCAGGAATAAAACAGAGAACATTGCTATTAAACTTACAGAAATAAAACAGATTATTAAGGAATACTTTGAACAATTACAATCCAATAAATTAAATAACCTAGATGAAATGAATAACTTCCTATTAACATATAAATTATCAAAAGAAGAAATATAAGATCTGACTACACCTAGACCTTTAACAAGTGAAGAAAATGAATCAGCAATCAAAAAACTTTCCACAAAGAAAATTCCAGGAAAGAAATCTTCATTGGAGAATTCTACCAAATGTAAAAAATCAATACTCATTCATCTCAAACTCTTCAAGGAAAAAAAAAAAAAAAACTACAGAGGCCAGGGGTACAGTAATACCAAAGTCAGACAAATATCATCACAAGGAAACTACAGAACTATAACCCTTATGAATACAGAGGCAAAAATACTCAATAAATTACTAGCAAACCAAATCCACCAAATGACCATGTCCAAGAAGAGTTAATCCCAGGAATGCAAGGGTAGTTTGACATAATAAAATCAATCAATACTATAATATCCTACATTAACATAACAAAGGGGGAAAACCATATGAGCTCAATGAATGTAGAAAAGGCAACCTACAAAAGCCACCAGCATTTCATGATAAAAACATTCAATAAATATGAATAGAAGGGAATTTCCCACTGGTCCCAAAGATAACTGCTATCTTTGTTTTCTTCTCGCCCTATGGAGTCCATTCTTTGTGTTTTAAGTGAGAATTGGGCTTACTCTATTAGATTGTTTTCAGCATTCAGATGAATATTTTGGCCTTATCTGTTTAATTACTAGGGGGAAAAAGGGAATTTCCTCAGCCAAATAAAGGGCATCTATGAAAAATTTGCAATTGATATTGTACCTAAAGGTGAAAGACTGAAAATTTTTGCCTAGAATCAGCAACAAGACAAGGATCTCCACTATAAATACTTCTATCTAATGCATGCAGTAGAGCAAGTTCTAGCCAATTAGCCAAGAAAAAGTAAAGAAAATCATCCAGATTGGAAAGGAAAACATCCAATTATCTCTATTCACAGATACATGCTCTTATATACAAAAAACCCTAAAGAATGCACACCAAAAAAAAGAAACTTTTAGAGCTAATGAGTTCAGCAAAGTTGTAGGATACAAGATCAATATATGAAAATCAGTTGAATTTCTATATACTAAAAATAATCAATATAATGAGAAAACAATTCCATTCATAATAACAACAAAAGGAATAAAATTTTTAGGAATAATTTTTAACCAAAGAAATATAAAGACATGTGCATTAAAGCTACAAAATACTGGTAAAAGAAATTAAAGACCTACATAAATGGAATGAAATCCCATGTTCCTAAATCACAGTACTCAACATTGTTAAGACAGCAATATTTCCCAAATTAATTTGCAAATCTTATGTGATCACTATCAAAATTCTAGTAGCCCTTTTTATAGAAATGAACATGCTAATTCCAAAATTCATATGGAATAGCACAGGATCTTAAATAGCCTAATCAATCTTGAAAAAGAGAGCAAAATAAGAGGAATCATATTTCTCAGTTTCAAAACTTACCACAAAGCTATAGCAGTCAAAACAATATGGCACTGGTATATGAGTACACATATAGACCAATGTTATGGCACTAAGACTCCAGAAATAAACCCTCATATTTATGATCAATTGATTTTCAATAGAATTTCCAAACCATTCAATGGAGAAAGGATAATCTTATCACCAAATGTTGCTTAGACAGCTGGATAGCCACATGCAAAATAATGAAGTTGGATCCCTACTTCTCACCATACATAAAATGAATTCAAAAATGGACAAAATACCTGACTATAAGAACTAAAACCACAAAACTCTTAGAAGAAAACATAGGGGTAAATCTTCATCACCTCCTACTTGGCAGTGGATACTTGGATATGACACCCAAAGCATATGCAACAAAAGAAGAAAATAGATCAATTGTAGTTTGCCAAAATTAAAACATTTAGTGCATCTAAGGGCATCATCAAGCAAGTGAAAAGACAATCTGCAATGGGCGAGATATTTGCAAATTACATATCTGACAAATGTATAAATACATCATTAGTCTATAGGGAAATGCAAAGGAAAACCACAATGGGGTCCTACCTTACACCAACTAGGATGGCTTTAATTTAAAAAAAGGAAAATAACAAGTTGGTGAGGAAATGGAGAGAAATCAGAACCCTCATACATTGCTAGTGGGAATGTAAAAATGGCCTCTGTGGAAAACAATTTGGCAGCTCCTCACAGAGTGAAACAGAATGGCTGTATGAATGAGCAATTCCACTTCTAGATGTATACCCCCCAAAATTAAAAAACAAAACAAGTATTCAAACAGGGTCCTTATGACCCT